CGGGCTGCCCGAACAAAAGTAGCTCCGGGGGCGGCCGCTGCCAGACGAGGGGGCGCTCGCGTCGTCTCGGCAGTTCCTGGTGTGTCGTCGTCTGCTGCGGCACGTCGCGGCTCTGCGAGCTACCGAGGTAAAATTCTGCTGATCTCCCGTCGGGGGATTTTGACAGCGATTAAGTGAGGGTGCCCGCCACACGTAGGACGACGGGGACGCTTGAGGGCCGCGACGTCCTCTCCCCCGGCCCCCTGACGTCGACGTCGCCGTGTTTTCATCCCAGTGACCCCGTCCTGCGGCAGGTCGCTGTCTCCGAAGCGGCCCGGGGGGCCATTGCGCTGTGCCACCCGCTACACAGGGGCGCGCTTGAGCACACTCCGGACGCAGCTGCCGCGACGCTTCACAGCCGCGATGCCATATCCCCGGCTGCCATAAAAGTCCCCCGGGGGCCCCGGGACTGTTGCGCGGAGCAGCGGCGTTCGCTTGTAATGTCCGAATGCGTGTGCAAAGTCGGGCTGTGATCTACGCGTCCAGGTGCGAGTGACGTCCTATGTAATTGGGCCTCTCGTGGTCTTGATGCGCATTGCGCTGCCGAGACTGCTCGATCCGCGCGTCCGACGCAAAATCGTCCGCGGGGAGAGAGGGGGGGGGAGGGGGTCAGGCTTCGGTGATGGATGGCCTTGAGCGGGCAAACGTCAGTGATTTCTGAATATATGAGTGACGGCACTCGAATAGGATTACAAGCTACCGACAGTTGAATATATGGATAATTATACGACGGTTCTGTAGAAGAGGTAGGAACTGGAAACATTTGGAGTCGGAGGGGATGCTGAGGCTGAGAGCACGATTAGGCCTAGGCACAGCAGAGCTCGGACCCGCACGGAAACGTCGCCATTAGAGTGTCATGATTTGCATCCCTCATCTTATTTTTCCTAATCAAGGAGTTCAACTCTCGGGAGGCGGAGCCAGTTAGCTTTAAACACGCCAACGGTTCAAAACCCCGCACTGATGACTGCTGTGTTCTCGTCCCAGCAGATGACACGGAAGCAGAGGTTCTTCATGTTGGACCAGCTCGCGGTGAGAGTCTGTCTGATGAGTGTGGCAAACGGCATCCATGTTTGTTGGGAGCTTGACTAGTGTGCTAATAAGGCCAAATAAGCTTATCAGACGGATAACTGCCGGATAAATGGCTTTCTGGTTTTCCTGTGTTTTGTAAATGGTTTAGGAGACATCGTGGCAGATACATTCACGAGTGATATGTGTTAGTTGTGACTAGCAGCACGTAGGGTCGATGCACCAAGTCGAGTAAGCAACCCATCCACACCGTAGTACCTGGTGGTACAGTATAACTATACGAAAGTGAACAGGTGTTTTCAGCTTTCCGGTACAGTTTGTCGTGTTGTGATACTAGTTTCGTGCTGATTACTGTATCACAATTTGACATAATCCCCCGTATTTCAGGTCCAGTGCGGCGAGGAGTGCGTAGGCGAGCGTCCACCGCGTCCAGCACCTTTGCTGTGGTCTCCGTTTACGCTCTTGCCGTTGATACTACGCCAGATAACCATGGGCATTCAGGTACACATGGACGTAAAGCTAGCGTGTAGAAAGATTGCTCCCCCATGCACTCAGGTATTCAAGTCAGTAAATGCGCTGGAACGCACTATCCTCAGCAGGATTACTAGACACTGCAACTCTACTTGTAGGTGCGTCGGGTGCTCAAGCCGCGCGCGGCAGCCACTGCCTATGACCACGCGTCTCAGACGGAGCCGACGCCAACGGTCTGCAGCAACCCCCAGGCCCAGCAGGGTGCCAAGGCAACTGCCCCGCGCAAGAGGGTAGGTGGTCTGTACTCGCGTCTCGAAACTGAGACTCGCGTGATTTTTATTTCCGTTGAACGTATTCCGCCGATGGGTGCTTAGATTGTCATTCGTCCGTATTATGGCCTTTTGCAGACAATCTACGTGTACAGCCAAAAGCACCTGCTGACCCGCGTCTACCGCATCTTTGGCCTGCGCCATGGGACCATGATGATTGCCATCCATGATTTGGTAAGTGTGTGTGCAGTGTACAGTCCAAGTCAATTACCCAGTGACACCCGATAGTCTGACTCCTACCATCTGACACCTAACTATCTGACACCTAACAAACACGAACACGTCTGACACCAGACAATCTTGACACCTCCATCTGACTCCGAACCATCTGACCCCCTAAGGCCTTACACCTGACTCTTGACAGTCTCACATCCAAAAGACTGTCATTCAAAAGTCTGCCAGTTGACAGTGACATCCGGAAGTCTAACGCCTGACAGTCTGACACAACGACGCTCGCACTGACTGGGGGGGTCATTCGCCACTGCGCAGCTGTGGAGCTCCTTCGTGGTGTTCCTGCTGGTGCTGGCCACGGCGCACTCGCGCGAGGTGTCGCGCATCGTGGAGGGCGACATGCAGGCCCACATGGCGGAGCACGCGGCCGCGGAGCGCGCCGAGCACATGGCCGGCCTGGGCTCGGGCCTGGCCGACCAGGACAACCAGAACCGCACCTCCTTCTACATGCAGTACGTGCAGGTGGCCTACGACCAGGCGCGCAGCATGATGGCGCACGACAACAACGAGGTCAAGCTGCACACGGGGCTGCACGTCGCCACGAGTGAGTCTCCCTAAATCTCTCTCACACTCACACTATTATCGCGTAGCCCGACTGGCTCGTTCGATGTTGTTAACACCCCGCGCTCTTGCTCCACAGTGATGACCATGCTGATGGTGTTCGGCATCTCCATGGCGGGCATCGACATGATCGCCTCCATGATGCTGCTCGCCGGCGCGATGCTGGTGAGTGGTCCCTGTCCCCGTCTCATTCTCTCACTCCCTCACCCTCACACTCTCTCATATTCTCGAGCTCTCACTCTGTCACTCTCCCTCGCTCTCTCACTCTCTCTCGCTCTCTCGCTCTCTCACTCTCTCACTCACTTTCTCTCATATCACTATCTCACACTCTCTTACTCTTCTCGCAGAACGTGCGCCAGCTCATGATGCCCTGGCTGTCCCTCCGCCTGATCGAGATGCTGCTCGTGTTCGGCGGCACCCTCGTCGTGATGCTCGTGTACGCGCGGGGCATCATGCTGCTCAAGGTGTTCCTGGTGTCCCTGGCGTTGCTCGGTGAGTTGTGAGATTTGCACCCGTTACGGTTACTTTGTGCGGTAGCCAATGCATTGCATATGACATATGTCTTTGTGTGTCTGCCCGCAGCCGTGATCCTGTACCACTGGTCGGCGGCCTACTCCCTGCACGAGCACATCTGCCGCATGGAGCGCACCGGACTGGTGCACAGCACGCACAGCGCGCGCCCCATGGCCCTTAACACCTCCCTCGCCATGCTCAACACGGCGAGCTGCCCCTGCTCCTGTCCGGGCGTCCCCGGCGGCGGCGCCCAGCGCATCTGCGGGCCCAGGGTGCTGCACGGCACCGACGGCACCCGCATGGTCTGGAGCTCCGTCTACAAGTGCCAGCTGCCCGACCTCCGCGACGGCAGCGTCCTGCAGGACCTCCGCGACAGCCTCCTGGACGCCGCCTCCGCCGACAAGAACGACCTGCTGACGGGCAGCAACCGGAACCTGTCCGCCACCACGCCGCCGATGGACGGCATGCCCGTCGAACTGTTGGTGCCCATGGCGAATGTCGTCAGCAACAACAAGGAGTAGGGTGGCCGTGGCCGTGGGGTCCAGCGCGCGGCAATGGGGCAGACCCGGCCAGGAGTGGGAGTCGCCAAGAGATCAAACGATGCTTTAGACTTTCATGTCTGTGGCCGGGAGGCGGGAAGGGCGGCAGCGCGTTAGCAGCGAGTATGCAGCGGACCCAGTCGTGGAAAACTCGTCAAGAAACGACATCGACTCGACGACGTATATTCTCAACGGCGGCACAGTTCCGACCGCGTTTCTCGCTGGGGAGGCTATTTGTTTGCGCCAGGTTTTCATTTTCTCTCTAAACAAGACGGCTCTTTGTGACGACCGCGTGTTCTATAACTGTAGATGTAAGGAGTAGGCCGCGCGTTAGCAAACGGTGCCATATATTCCACTCCCGATCCTTAGGTGGGAGGTTTTAATTGTTCTACACGTCATTTAGTGGCGAGGATCATATTTAATGATTGTTGCCACTTTTCTATATACTTTGCGGCATAGGCTAATGCCGCGCCGCTTTCAGTTAACATACATTTAGCTTTAGCGATTAATTTAAAGGCGAGAAGTGTTAGTGTCTCTCCTCGCTAAAGAATAATTGCAATGAATCGCTTTAGGTGGTTTAGACGAAACTAAGAGGTGTCAGCAGCCAGTCCGCAGAGAAGACACACACTATGGTAGCAGATTCAGATGTTGTGTGCTTCTGCTCTCGTTTTGTTTTTGTTTTTTTCGAAAGAAAAATAGCAATGTCGGGTTTGAAGAATGGATCTTTTCACAAAATGAGCCACTGTGGCACCTCCCCTTTACGCGCCCCCTCCCCTTTTTCCCCAATTCTCTCTTAATTTGCGTGTTTTGCTTCCCCAACTATTTATTGGAAACCTTTCTCCAGAACTGTACAAAGTGCCCGACAGAAGACACGCACTACTTGGACTGATTTTGACAGATTATGCGATATCTTATGTTAATGTCTTCTCGTACCTGCAGAAGTAGGTTTGACGGTGTCCCCAGAATGAACGTTTCACGAGGCGACGCTAATGATAGCGCCTGTAATGCGCTGGGTAGGCCCACCCGCCAGGCAGCCATGTGACGCCGGCGGCCCGCGCCCAGCGCGGCAGGCGCGCGGGCCTCGGGCAAGAGAACATTAGACGACCAACGTTCCCTCGTGTCAACTCGGGGGACTTTCATTGTCCTTGAGGCAGACCCTAACGCGACTGACTCTTATACTCTGTTTATTTCAACAGTGACTCATTATGAATGAAAGAAGTCGTTTCGGTTTCTAGGCATGTTTACGCCAATTATACTGTTCTGTGTGTGATTTTGCACAAAATTACTGTTATTCGTATTGAAAGACATTGCATTACCCTAATGAAGATTGAGTTACTACAGAGCAAGAAGGGTGCTCACCTTGTTTTAGACTGTTAAACATTTTCAGTAAGAGTAAGATCTGTTTTTAACTAGTTTGTAGTAGGTTTATTTTTTCTCCAAATATCAAGTTTATCAGTATCTTCATGGTACACGACTTTTATGTTGGTCTCGAATGTTGGTTGCAACGACAACCGACATGTACGAAACATGCACAGAACGGCTGTGATTGCTCGATGTGATTTGAAAAGTTGAATAAGTTATGTATAATTTAGAAGTATTGATGAGTAAACTAGACCAGGTACGGACGGGCGCTCGAAGGACAGCGTAAAAAGGAGCGCAAGTTTTAAACAGCCTTGAGTTGATTTTGATTTTATGTTTATAGGAATTTCTCGCGAACGAAAGAGATGGCATGCCCGATTGCTCCCATGCAATAGTCTGAAACTGTACCGTGGAAATAATGTCCATGATTCATGTGCGGGTCTCGGATCAGCGTGCCAAAAGGACTGATTAGCTAGGTGTGCCCGTCCCCTTGTCTATATGTTTATAAAGTTTCGCTGTGAAAGAAGGAAAAGTTGTGGTCGTGCTCGTTCCGCTCAGGCCTAAGGGTTTTGTCAAGAAATACACAAGAAAAGCGTGCCAAAGTAATGTAGCAGATAGGACGGCCCTCACTTGAGTGAAATCGCCATAATGGCATTCCCTGTTTTGACACGTTCTCTATCACTTATCTCCTAAAGTGATTCAAGAAATTATCACCATCACAATACATATCTCTGCTGTAGTCCTCTTCATTTCGTTCTTCTACAAAACATCTTCAGTATATTCATTTTCAGTAGCCGAAATTTACTTTTAAACAAATGACAAATAATGTTATTTTTCATCAAGATTCCAGAACTACTGTTTTCCATATTGTCTAACCAAACTATATTTCTAGATGCTTCCACACTAAAAAGCACGTGGGTGTTTTGATCTCTGTCAGTTCCTTACGGCCCAGAGGAAGACACTCAACCTCAAACTTTTCTCTATGCTAGAAAATATATGTGTTAGTCTATCTGAACGTGTGATGTTAAAAGATAATAATGAAAATAATAAAGAAGACATGCCTACACGGTTCAAGACAAAATGAGTATCTCTTTAATCGGACCCTGCACACTGTAAGCGTCGCGTCGTTTCGCCAGAATTCCTACATTTCCAGGCAGTTGAGATGACGCCCCTCTTTGGCCACTCTGCCGCTACCGTTTGAATGCGGCGCGGTGCCACCGCTCGACGCGGTGTGGCGACCGGGCGCTAGGTGGCAGAACGGCAGCGCGGTGCAGCGCGGAGCGGACCTTGCAGCGGGGGTAGCGGCGGCTGTTGCGGATTGTTACCGACAGGGGGCGCTGCCGCCCCAAACTCTTGTGCCAGTCGTCGGTTGTCGGCCGAGCGGAGCGAGCGACAGCGAAGAAGGCGCGACCAGAGTCAGCAGAGAGGCGACAGTTACCCTGCCAGGTTCGGCAACCAGTGTGTCATGTGCGTTGCTAGCGGCCGCATCGGCTCCGTGTACGTTACGTCCCGAAAGCCGAGTGCACGACTTTTCGTGCATCGTGAGTGCACAAAGTGCACGCCCGTGAGTGTGTTGATGATCCCGACATGTTTGTGAGTGAGTGGTGTGTGTCTGTGTCATGAAGTCTGCCAACGGATCTTTGAATTGGATACCATGAATTACTTCCACCAGCGGCGGCTGGTCGGGGGCGCCTGAACTCTGCCCAAAAAGGTACTGTATTTTTAAAAGTCGGTCTAAGCACTAGCAAATTCGGAGTCTGTATTTTGAGGCCTTGCTTTTCATTCTTACCTAAAGGTTTAAAGTATTATGTATTTTGTCAATGAGCAGTACTTAACCTGAACTTGTCATACATCAGACTGAGGCCTACTTGTCATTTATTTGGTGAATTCATCGGCTTTTCAAAAGTTTCTCACCATAGTTATTGGCGTCCTACGCTGCCAAGCTGCACTTTTCCTTCTTTGGATTGTTTCCATCCGTGTTTCTGATCTCATGAACGTTTGTTATGATTTGAGGTTATGGCTGCCAGTTATGTGTTATCAATTGTCAGACAGATGCTTTTCATTCATGACATTTAAAGTCCTTCTTTGGCTTTATAATCGTATTTTATTTTTCGAAGCATAAATTTTTTTCACATCCTTTTCTTTTTCATGCTATCTGTTTCGAGTTTTATCATTACTTTTCATTGCTTTAACTTGTAGTGTATTGTCAAGGCAAACCGATGTCATTAGCGCACATATGCGTACCAATTTTTTCAAACTTTTTAGCTTACAAATTTCTTTTTAAGCCTTACAAATTTCTTTTCAAGCTACAAGGGCTTTAATATTTGTCGATGTTCTTTTACATTTTCACCATTAGATAGTGGCGTCCACATCATTTGCCTTGTTAGCCCCAACCTCGTAAACAAATATATTTCTGGGAGGCGTGTTCTGTTCTTTGCAAAGTAATGGGGTGAAACTTATTCAAAATAAAATCAATGTTTCTGAAAACATGTAAGTTTTAATTAATGACATTTTAGTATTGAAGTGGCTTACACTCGCTTTGGTACAATTTGACTCATTTGAATCATTGAATTCTAACTTGTTACTCTCAAGAGGGGGAGTTTATCAATATTTATTGGTTCTGGTCTCCCCCTCTTGTTTCGTTCACTTTCAATATACCTTTCCACAGTCTAGACTAAATGTGAAAATTGTGGTCATTTAAATTAAATTTTACTTTAATTCATTTCATTTCTTGTTACACAAATTTGTCTTTTTAAAGACAATTCTATTGCTCTCACAGTAGCCTGACACATTACACATCACAATTGTTTTATTCCTGGATGGCTTATACCGCTTGGGCCAGTGTTGTGACTCTCATTTTGAATGGATCGCCACTGCCGATTGGGCGTTTCTGTGAATCTCTTTGCCACTGCCCGTGAGATGGCAGTGTACATTTGGCACGGCTGCTCTGTTGTGGGTACAGTGGCCAGGGAGACCCGGCGGCCCGAGGACGCCCTCATCATGTGGTCTGTATTACCAGATTTTCCTAGGGACTGACTGGGCCAGAGATGCGGAGCCGGGTCGGACTGGGCTGGCTGGCTTATGTGCAACATTGCAACACTCGCTTGAGTGGTTGTCGTCCCGTGACCAGACGTTTGTTCGACCCGTGGTCCGCAACACTTGTCTGTTCTGCCCATTTTCCCTCCAGTTTTCCGTCCACTTGTTTAGTAGAGATATCGTAAGGGTGCATTCTAAATTTTGATGTGCATCTCTGACCAACTCTGACTGTACCCTACAGACAGAGTTTCGCTTGTTGCTGGGTAACGATCTTACGCGCGAGTAAACTATCTTTCCACGAAGAGCCCATCATCGCCCATCTCTCTCTTTCTTTTTGTGAACGAGTTGCCCCCCCCCCCCTCTCCGGTCTCCCTATTTTCTCCCTTCGGTTTTCGTCTTGAGAGAGAGGCGAAGGCCGTCCCCGTCACAGATCGCAGCCTCCCCTTCTCCCTTCAGCAGCCGAGCTATTCCGAGATATTACGGAAACGTTTTCATTTCCACCGTAGCCCGTAAATCTCGGAATAGTCTCTTTCCTCCTACTCAGGTACGCCCCCCCCCTCCCCCCGTTTTTACACCCCTTTCTTCCCCATTCGATTCTCCGTATTATTTTTCGCCTGTCTGGTTCCGCCCCCTGAGTGACGGTAGTGCAAGTATGTGTTCTACACAGCGCGCTGGGCGCATCTCGTGATGAAAGTCGCGGAGGGCGACGACGCGCCGTGCCGGGGAGGGGGGAGGGGGAAATCCCACTCGTAGGGAAGGGCTCGTGTCTGGGAATGTGGTGGGCGGATGCTGCCGCGCAGCATCTGGACCGCACTGCCCCTGTGTATCTCTTATCGGCTTGCAACCCCGCGTCATCTGAACGTGTTGCCAAATCGTTGCAAAACTTTTGAAAATTTTTCTGCTTTAAAAAAGTAGTTGGTCGCCCACGACAACAAATTACTGGTGAAAAGTGAAAAGGGCGTAAGTCCGTGACAACAAATTACTGGTGAACAGTAAAATGGGGGTAAGTCTATACGCCTTTTTCACTTTTCACCCTCTTTACTTTACCTTGGCTTGGCTTGAGTTACCGCGACGCCTCTTCTGTTGGCCCAAAGTTTTTTGATCCAGCCAGAGAGCCGTTCAAATTTCCCATACCCCACCAGACCAGCGCGCCTCCCCATTTCTCCCCGGATTAGAGCCGACCAGCCAGCCGGTCTCCCTCTGCTTGATCAGGAGTTATGAGTTGGTACAACAGAGGTGTGACTCTGCCCACGCGGGCTCACGCACTATCGGCCGTTACCCGTACCGGTATGCGCTACCCGCCGCGCGCCATAAGTTTTTCCCTCCATCGCTTCGCGTAGGAGGAGAAGGTAGAGGAGAGGAGGACGGAGACGGAGGGGAAGAGTTGAAAGGACGCGACCAGCGGGGGCACCGCGCTCGAGAGAACAGCCGACTGGAAGGCGCTTTTCGGCCCAGCGGGCTCCAGCAAGAGGAGCCGAGGGGAAAGAGGAAGAGAGGGAGAACTATAGGCGCGTTTTTTTATTTCCCTTTTTCGTCGCGAGATTAGTTCTGAATCGTCTGCTCGCGCGCGGAGGGGTATTCACCCGAAATAATGCGGCATTATCCCCCCCGGCGGATCCGCGGCGCGCCGTAGGATGGATGAAGGGAGGGGGGGGGGGGATTTCTGGCCTGCGGGCGGTGCGGGAGTGACAGCGAAATATGGTTGTTTGTTATTGTATGCGGCTTGGACTGGCGGCGGCGGGGGCCGCTGGACAGGTGGGGCGTGGCGCGGCGTGGCGCGGGGAGTTTAAAGGGAAGGCACTAAGGCAGGCCGCAGGTCGACCCCAGGCTGACCCCGGCTGATCGGGGGGTCGGGGTGCGCACGCGACGCGCGCCCGGCGGAGCAGATTCGCCGAGGAGCATCCTCCTGCCTCCTCCTGGTCTGTTCTGTCTGTGGTCGCACCCTATGGCGGATCCGCGTTCGCGGGCTGTGTGGAACTGGTGTGAGGAGCCCGACTGTTGTTTGTGGTGTGCTGTGGTTCAGCCGTGTTCTTGAACCTCGTTTTGAGACTCCTTTTGGAGAGTCTTCCGAGAAGCCAGCTTTATGCCGAGGGGGCCGCAACAACCTCGGCAAAACCTACTTTAATGTTTGTGGAGACCGAGTTTAAGCCCCTTTGCGTTCAAAATATTCGCCGCAATCCAGTGAATCGAGTAATTTGCTAAAAAGTGGGAGATTTCTGGGTTGTGGATTGCCCTATATTACACATGATTGCACGAGTTGCAGCCACCTCAGTCTGTACTACGTACCCTGGTCCCCGGGCGCTCTGGCTCTGTCGAGTCCAGTCGGGAACGCGGCGCCGCCGCGCCAGGCCCGGCGGCCCGTCTCCGGATCCGGAGAGTCAGTCGAAAACGGTTGAAAAAGCCGATGATGTAACGCCGGCAGAGCTAGGTGCCGGTTGACATCCTCTTGTTGTGGCTCTCCGTATCGCCCCCTCTCTCTTTCTGTCATTGTTGCTTCTCCCTCTCCTCCTCTCTCCCCCTCTCTCTCTCCTCCGTCCGTGTGGCCGCGGCGGCGCCGATCAAGTCTCGAGCCTTCTGCTCCTTGTATCGGAAGGGAAAGACACTATTATTAGCGCGTCCAATTGGCATACTTAAACTGCAAATAAGCGAGGCTGGCCTGTGCGGCGGGCCGTGGCGTGAGCGCTGGGGGGCCCCGGGCCTCGGGCCCATCGGCGGGGCGGTGACGGGGCGCCTATAAGCGTGTGACTGGGGCCCGGGGCCCACGGGGGTCGCATGTGGCCGAGGAGGAGGAGGAGGAGATGCGGCGGGTGCAGGAGGCGCGTGCGTGCGTGTATAGTGGAAGTGGACCCGGCCCAGCTCGACTCGGCCCGGACTTGTTCAGGGCACCGAGCACCGGCACCGGCACCGGCCGGCTCAGGCAGGCGAGGCAAAGACATCCTCCCTCTCCTTCTCCGGCCCCTGCTCTCTGCTACTGCTGCTATACTGCTGCTGCTGCTGCTGCTGCTGCTGCTGCTGCTGCTGCTGCTGCTTGCCGCTGCTCCGGCG